AAAAAGGTACGTACGATTATAGCATTCCTGAGCTCTGATAACACAGAAGCTAACATCATTTTCGAAATGTACATTCCCTACACAACAGCAAATTTACATCAACGATATTGTTGAACTGGAAGGAAGTATCACCGCAAACACGGACAATACACTAAAAGTAGGTTTCCCCCACTCTCTAATGACTAGACACACGGATACCCAATCTTCACACTATATACTAATTACTATCGCTATTAGATAACAGCCTATCAGCTGCACGTAATGGAAACGATCGAGGCCCGCTCATCCCACACCACCGTACAAACATGTGGTACAGTCAAAGTGCCACTGACCGAAAAAAAAGAGCATTTATTCTTCAAATTAAACACGTCACAATACACCAGAGAGAAGTCCAGTGATTTAACTATGGGCGATGAACTTATTTATTTCCGGAAAGAAGGAAATTATTAAGTACCGTTGTTTAAGGGGAGGTAGTGTTCCCTGTAAATTCGTTTATAATCTGTCATTGTATCAACGAAAATAGGAATGGAAGTAGAAACAAGGATATGCCTTACGCATTTTTTTATAGAACAAAAAGAGATCGTTTTCTTATTGAAAAGGTGCTGATAAAAATAAAGTCTATCGCTATGGTACTTTTGTATAAGAAGGTATATGAATCTCAACATATCAATGTTACTCCTCAAATGAATAATATTTGTGACTCATCTGCATTAAACATGCAGGCATCGTATCACGTGTGAAACACAACAATCAAATTTTCCAATTACCGATAAATTTCAACTTGCTATTTATTGCACCAACCTCGAAAACCTAATAGGGACATTTCGCATTTTTGTTGTTAATCGATTTGGCTGAAATTTACTATCTATTATTATATAAGGCAATACCTCAAACCTTAAACCTTATGTAATTATTAATGAGATGTTAAGAATTAACAGTAATAGAGAAATGAAATACATATCTATCTTCTTCCCCTCCTCCCCTCCTGTCTTCCTCTCCCCCTCCCCTCTTCTTTGCCTCTCATCTTCAAAAAAGATAATACCTCTCAGTATATGTGTAATAGATGATGCTAATAAGGACATTTCCGATTACTCAAGCGATGACGTTTCACTAAAATTTTTTATTTACTCGACTCGGTCATTTCGGTCATTAAGTAATCTTACATACGTAGTTTAAAAGGGATGCTGAAAGAAATGAAGAAACACCATGTATTCATGTTAAAAATGAATAACCGATAGGATATCTATGGTCATAAAGGTGCTTAGCTTTACATTCCCCAATTCACTCAAACAATGACATTATACTAATATCTCCTGACCAATATAGCTTATAATAAACTTGCAACATATTAAAAGATTTAATACAGTTATTAGAAGACTGTAAATAGCGATAATCCTATTTCAGACATTCAAACTGTAATCATCTCCAGAAATGAAAGACAACACTGACTTATGCATACAATAATATGATCCTTTAATTTATAGTTCGGACATTCAGATACATTTGATCTGTAAGTAATTTATCGCTCTTGGTAATCGATTTATAGTCGACAACAACAATAAGTTTAGAATGGATAATTACAACCCTCCTTACTTATTTGTAATCAGAACATCGTTCGGCGATTACTACCGTTAAGGGAAACAGAACAGGTCATCTAATACCAAGTAATTCGCCGCTCCTATAATCGATTTATGGAAGACAGTTGTAATTGATGCTTGTAATGTATAATAAATAATGTAACCTTTGATCATCTAATGATTATTTCTTTTTTGCTCAAGAAACCTCAAATAACTAAAAAGGCATACAAGACGATATGTGATCCAAATGATATAAATAAACCATGATCATACTCTGTCCCGACGCTAAACAAATATTCTCAAACATCACTGACCTTTTTACCTTAAACAAAAACTTTTCTCAAATGTCCCGAATCATTGACAACTTTTCTTTCGATTCATTGGCACCATATGAATCCATCATTGATTTCTCTGAGCCAACTTCTCATATTTTCCCTGAATCATCTTCCCATCAATCTGACATAATTTCCCCTTCAATCAACGCATCTATTCCTACGCGTCTTCAAGAAATCGAGCATACATTTTGGTGTCCTTCCGATGCTTTGATACAAATTCTACGCAAACTCCACGAGTCAGATTATGCTCAATTTCCCTGTATTCCCTGTTCATATTGTTCGCATTTACAATATCCTTATCAAGTCAAATGGATTGTTCGGCAAACCAACTACACATTTCCGTTTGAGCATGTATATCCTCACGTACCCCTAACTGTCCATCCGCATAATAACACGAAAGTAGCAGTATGTGCATCGTGCAAGGCAAGGCCCTCCTCATGTCCTATCCTGGCTGAAATTCTTACCTGTATCGAAAATGTGCCATATGGAAAGCGAAAATACTTATCACCTGTATACTTACATTCGAGCCTTGGTAGATCATCGAATCTATCTGCTTATTCAGAATACTGATCACTTAAAGGGCAGTTTGGATATTCAAAGAACCTGCGATCCCTATTACTTTACTCTGGCATGTTAGGTGCATTCCTTGAAAATATTGATCAATCATCCACAGAAAACTGCTGGTATCACCCTTCCTTAAGAGAAGCTTGTGAATGGTTACAACAACACAACCCATACTTGAACTCCTACCACTCTCTCGCATCCCGTTTGTTACAGAATAACGATTTCACCATGAATCCGATATGACCTTCTGCTACTCATGTAGAAACTGACCAACATATACCACCCATTCATCGTGGAGATGTCATAGTACCTCCATATGATTTTCCTGATGAAATCCATAATGAAGATTCCCATTACAGTCATTTAGCCATTGGGTTTCTATGTACAAAAGATGATAATAAGATACCAATCGCTCTACATGATCCCGAATTAGAAGCACTTCTATATCCCAACTTATTTCCCGATGGCCATGGACACTATGGCAAACTCCAACAAAGTGCTTCATCTGCTAATGATAAAGCTGAGACGTATGGAAAATATATCAAGAGCAGAATCTTAGGCTATGATCCATGTTTCAGATTACACCCTACTTGGCCAATGTGGTCATACTTACAATTAGAGAAATATCATAATTTTCAAAACAACATGTGCATAGTTCATCAAAAGCAGATAGATTCTGAACATAGTCACCCAACTGCTGCAGAATTGTTGAGACAGAGTAGCTATGATACAACTGATCTCATCATAAACGAATCTTTAACAATGCCGCTTCCAACATTCATCTGCATGGAAGACTCCTATTTTCGTGAAAAAGAACTCCATCTAAATACAATGGTAAAACATTTAGGACTGCCATCACTATTTATCACACTCTCAATGGTGGAAAACAAATGGGAACATCTTAAAGAAATTTTAAAAAACACTGATAATCAAGACACATTACCTACAAACCACCCATTCCATACAACATGTCAATTTATCAATCGATCTCAATCAATGAAAAAGGCAATTTGGAGAGACAATTTAATTTCTGGCTGGGGTACAGTTGAAAACTTTTTTGAGCATATTGAATTCCAAAACTGAGGAGCTGCCCACATACATACCTGTTTATGGACAACATCAACCATCAAACAAATGATTATATCTAATCAAATCTGTGGTGACTTGCCAGACCCAGAGCATGAACCAGATTTGTATCAGAAGGTCATTGCTCATCAAATACACACTTGCAACTCTGTACATTGTGGAGGTCCACCTGTAGAAGGTGAACAGTGCTCAAAATTTTTCCCTTGTCCATATTCCTCACATACATATCACAACGATCACTCCTTATGATTCATATACAAATGCATAAAACCAGAGGATCGTTGGGTCATACCTTATCACCCACAGACATTGTTAGCATGGAATGCGCACATGAATGCTCAATATGTTACTGCAAAAGGTTTTGCCCATTACATGACCAAATATATTGCCAAAGTTGAACCTGCTCACCTATTCAATGTATCTGAAGGAGATCAGTATCATCAACATGTATTAGCATGGAGACTAGGGATGATGGAAATGATGTTCTTAGTACTTGGCAAACCAATATGTGATTCATCAGCTACAGTGAATTACCTTCCAACAGAGCCTCCCAAGTTATGATCAAAGACTGTCCGACCAACACACCAGATCCTTTTAAACCCAGATGAGCCCTGTTACAAAGACACTATCGAAAAGTATCTCCATCAGCCATTAACAGAAGAATTCGAAAATATTAAATACAGTGATTACTACCAATTCTACAAAATCAAGTCACAGAACTTCCAATCAAGTTGAAAAGCAGGAACTGACCTGGATGAATGAACAGTTATTCGCCATATTGACCAGAATGCACTTTTTAAGATTATCAGATAATGAAACATATTTTTATCACCTATTGTTGGAAAAGCACCCGTGGAGATCAGAAGATGAAATTTGTGGTAATTTCAATTCATACTGAGAACATTATCTTTCCTTATTCCCTGATGAAGCAGAACAATTTCAAAATAATGTGAGATCTTATATAACACAAAGAAAACTACAACTCACTTTACAATTCAGAACCCTAGTCGATTCTCTGATTCAAACACTACAAAGAGAAATTACAATCAACAATATTGATATCATCAAGCACCAACTTGATAAGCTTAAAAAGCTTCCTCCTCCTTCCTCATGCAACATTGCCATCACTTTACCACCAGAACAATATAGAATTATGAACATTCTAACAAATGTAATGGGCTCCAGAACAAACAAACAATATCCGTTCTTCTTCTTGACAGGTTCTGCTGGAACAGGAAAGTCCTTCATTATCCAGCAATTTAAACTCTTCCTTGAACATTCAAAAAGGCCATATCTTCTGTTGGCTCCAACTGGCATTGCTGCTCAATCTGCTGCTGAAGAAAAGAAATAACAACTGCTTATACTAAACTTCCCTAATAACACATTCTAAACACTATAAATAGCAAAAGTCCATACAGCCCAGCTCCCTACAGTCATTATGGCTAAAGGGAAACGAAGAAAGAAGCCCCTCAGCAGCATGACCATGCTGAAAGAGGACATTCGAGTGGAGGAGAAGAGCTCCCTCGAAGATAGCACAGTGTTCTCAAAGTCCCTTGGAAAAGCTGAAAAGGTGAGCAAGCTATGCAAAGCCCCTAACTGTGCCCATGCTGCCATCTGCTCTGTCTTTATAAAAGATGAAGAGGACTTCATAGATGGCATTGAACCAGAAGAAGGCACTCCTTACTGTGCATGTGCCCTCCACTCTAACAAACAAGTCAAGACCTTCCGAGGAATGAAAATTCTCAACAGAATAGAGAAAGTGGTATCTGATGAGGAAGAACCACTCCCAAACAGGCCAACAGCTCCAGCAGCTAAAACCCTACAACAGACTCCCACTGAGCAACCCACAATTGCAGTAAGAGTCTCCCCCATGAGTTCACCTGAACTTCAAGCTCTACTAAAAAAGAAAGGAAATTCAGCTTCCTCTAACTCTAGCCAACCTAGTGCATCTCTAGCTTCTTCCCTTGTGAAGTTCAAGACTGTACCAACATTGCAAATTATGAAGCTGAAGTCGAAAACAGACATGGCCTGACAACAGCTAGAGTATGTGTAGAGCATGCAACTGACAGCATCGAGGGCAACAAGACCACAAGCCTTCAACTGGTAAATGCTGAAAACCTATCAGCATATTCAATGTCCTTGATAAGCATCAGTGACAATGATGACAATGACCAGGTTAAAAATATTGTCAGTAAAGCCACCCAAAACAAACCCTTTGGTCAAACTAAGGGACAGAAGCAAAGCAAAATCAGAAGAGCCTCTGATCCAAGTCAAA